AATTTATTCTACCATGAAATTAAACCCCTAGCACTCCAAAATGGTTCTTGACAACAAGAAATTTGGGCTCATCTCTCACCAAGGCTTGACAAGGCACAATATGGCAATCCAATCCCAAAAATTCCAACTTTCTCGAAAAAACTAAATAAAAATCCACTGCTTGACGTAATACTGGATATTGAAAGATAACACTTCAACAAGAACATCTACTGAATATCTTTCCAACAAGAAGCTGAAAACCCACGATCATATATTGCATAAAAGCTAACATCTTGTTGAAATTCCTAACCACACCCATCTTAGAAGCAACTATACCATAGCTGCAACTTTGCCCCCTGGTAGGCATGAATGCCAACCATCATTTGCTTTTCCTCTTTAATTCTGAACCATATAAGTTCTATAACTAGATTCAAAACCAATTTCTTCTGTGTTAAAACTGAATGCCAACACCGCACTCTTTTAGTTCCCAATTTAAAATACCCATTAACCAATGCCTTTTACTGATTAATTCAACCATAAATCTCCATAAAATCATTCATTTCTTGGATCTCTTGCACATTGTTTTATACTAGCTTTTCACCCCGAATTTCCTTCACACTTAAACCATATTTTCACAATGTTCTGCCAATAAAATACATGCAAAGATAACAGAAAATACATTGACTGAGTGGGATATATATACATAACCACGTTGTATGAGTCCATTGTGTACAGAACCGGCAATTGAATCAAATCATTAACAGATCACATAAAAAGGATAATGTACATAATCTCATCAGCAATCAATTAAGACGAAATTGAAACCACAATAAAACAAAGGTAGAAAATCATAGACTAAAATCCCTTAAAAATTAATGGATTAATTTCATTAATTTCAGTTTACCTCAGCCATTTGACGAGACGGGATCGATCGAAAATGATGTGAAAATGAGACAGAGCACTTTCTTCTGGTCGGCGGGAGAGAGTGTTGGAAACTAAAATTGTTCACGTTTTGTTTCAGTGATTAGTAGTTGTAGAATTAGCTTAGATTAGTTTGCAACCCTTAATATTTTCTTAGTTTTTACTGTTCACCCTTCACCTTTTAGTTTTTGACACATAGCCCCCAACTGTCTTACAAAAGCTCTGGTAAAAATTTTTTTTTTTTTCCCAAAATAAGATTACATATACCTTACAACTGCAAGATCAGTACAACAAATTAGTTGTCATTTAATTTAGAGAAATGCCAAACTAGAAATAGAGCAATCTCATAATTAACTTGTATACAACTTATACACTTAATTTAATTTAATGGAAAAGGCATTCTTCATGCGTTTGTTCAAGAAAAGTAAATCATTAGGGAAAAGAGCAAAAAGAAAATGAGAAGGCAAAGGTGATTTATGCATTATTCCTTGGTTGGCAGTTTTTTTTTTTTTTTAAGTCACAAGTATATAAGTAGAATTTTCAAAACTATGACAAACGGGTCATATTGAATCTCTTGCTCCCAATTTATGCATAGGAAAATAGTTCTTGAAATACAGTTAGCTCCAAATATAGTAGGGACTAATGAGCGCTGATTTTAAATGTAAGGGAATAAGTGGTTAAGAAAAATTAAGACTACGCGTGGGTAAAAATTGAAGATATATTAGAAGTATCAACCAAACGTGTTTATTTTGCATGTTGGAGATACACAACTCTAGACTTTTTAGCCAATTTCCTAATGTGTGGATTTTTTGGTATGAAGTTATAAGGATGGGAAAATTTGGAGATTAGTTATTGTTTTTGATAATTGATGAACAACAAAAAGGTAAAAGAGTGATAAACCACATAAATATGAGGAAATTATAATGGTAAACGCAAAATTAGGAGGAAAACTTATAATTCAGCTTTCTCTGATCAATTAACTGTCTATTTTAGGTAGCATATCTTTTATTCTTGCTCCCACAAAAAAAAAAATTTTTTGTTGTAGAATAGCTCTAATTCTCATTACTTAAATCTTGCCAAATCCCTATAACACATATATTTAAAATATCATACCTCTATACTTTTTCTCATAAGTTGTAATGATATACCTCTTCGAGTATTCCTATCTTCCACATGTTTAGGTGAAATTTCTCTGATAGGCTTCGGCTTTCCCCGTTTAATAGGTCTCCATATTTAAGAGGAAGTTTGGGTTTTATGTTGTTAGAATTTCAATTTTTGCTATTCATTCTCTTAAAAGAACTTAAATAACCTATTAACGATAATTTTTAATGCTTTTAGTTTACAAGAAGATGATAGCTAACAAGTAGCAGCATGTTCTTCAACTAATGATCAAATTACGAGACAGTGATACTTTATTACAAGGTACTACTACATAAGTAGATGTGTTATTGCTGTTTCTAAAAATTGATATGGAGTTCAGGTTAGTGAAACCCTGTACGTCTGTCCACCGATGCAAAAGTTCAAAGGTGTCTCTAAACCAGAGTTTTCTTTTGTACACTCTCTCTTTTTTCTTCTGATCAATAAAAGCATGAAAGTTTACGTGTAAAAAAAAAGTTTTTATTACATGTCAAATATCTTTATGATGAGTAAACCCGACATGCTTATTTACTCATCCCCAAACTACCAATCCTAAAATGTCTCAACCCCCGAAAAATTGCAGTTGAATTCGCATCACCTAAAAAATAGTAGACAGCCTCTTTCGTGCACGTTGACTGACTAAGTAAAATGCTAAAAGAGAGAGAAAAGGAAGAAATGTTCAACAGAGTCCAGTAATAATACTTCATAAAACCACTTTCATTGATTTGTAAACCATCTTGGAAAGACCATTGTTGTTCCATACTGCATATTTGCTCATGGCTGAGAATTCTGCTCCCCCAGAAGAAGTTGTAGTGCCTGTTCCAGAAGAAAAAAATGAAGCCAAAGAAAAAGAAGTCGCAGTGACTATTCCTGAAGCAAAAAATGAAGCCGAAGAAAAAGAAGTTGCAGTGCTTATTTCTGAAGCAAAAAATGAAGCCAAAGAAAAAGAAGCTAAAGAAATCCCTGATGATACTACCACCACTGCTGCTGCTGCCACTACTAATACTAGTGTGGCAGCTAAAACAGATAAAATGAAGATTATTGTGCTTTCATTAACCGTACTTTCATTTCTTCTTTCCTTCCCAATCCTCTTTTCAATCGCTTGGTTGCTATACTTGAGACAATATGACTGTGAAAACCTTCTTGACTTGCCAAAGTTACAACTTGTGATTGTCATTGGTCTAGCAATTGTCTTCTTTGTGAGCAACTTTGTAGTGAAATTTGGAAGCCGGTTTCCTATGCTTGGACTTCTCTTAGTTGTGGTGCCACTGATTTTGATGCTGATTGTTGGTCTTGGACTTGAGGGTGCTTTTGACATGGAAGCTCGTACCATACCCGGTACTCCTAGATGGCTTGAGTTCAGGGTGGATAATGACTACAATTGGAAGGATATCAAATCCTGCTTGTATGCTACAACGACATGTAGAGAGTTGGCGTTAAGGTCTTATACCACCAAATCCTTTGACTTCACAGCAAGCAAATTATCATCGATTGAGGTACTAAGCTAATAAAAATGTCACATGAAATAGTATACGTGTGCTTGAGTAGACATTACAGACAAAGAATTTTTTTGCTGGTCGAATATATATATAGGTATATGTAAAATATAAATCACTAGTTTTGCATATGGCATATCCTAAAAACATGTTGAATGCTATTGGCTTAGTATTGGCTTAGTATTCTACATTAGCAGAATACTTCTTTTTCAATGGTTCATACACATGTTATTAGGCAGTGTTTGATACTTTAATTCAACCAACAACTTAAAAAAAAAAAAAATTATGATCGAATTTTTTTCAATAAATAGTGTGCTTAGTTTGAGTGATTTGTGTTTTCTTTGGTCATATCACTTCTACAATTGCACCTCTATTTACATTTTACATTTACTCACTGGACTATTTTTTACATTGGCGCAATTGTCTAGTCTGGTTGTTGTCTGCCGCCAACAAGCTGTGGAATGGAATACGTGAATGCCACATTCTGGAGGAAAGAAGATTCAACACTGGATTCGTCTAACCCATTGGAAAGGGATTGTGATCTATGGAAGAATGATGAAACCATTTTGTGCTACAACTGCCAAGCCTGTAAAGATGGATTTCTCAAACCATTACTTGGTAAATGGCAGAACATTGGGACCTTCCTCATTGTCATGGCTGCTCTGCTTTCAGCCTCGCATCTGTTGCTTTTTATTTCTACAATGTTGGAGCAACTTCGAGGATACCATAAAAGCAAATTAATCGCACTTTCATTTTAACTGACTAAGAGTTATTAGATGAGGTTTTGGATTTGCAAGCTATTTCATCCTTTGTTCTTGACTTTGTTGTACGTCTTTTTCGTGTATAATCGGGAACATCTTTGATGCTATGGTCATCCTCTGACAAAAGCAGAAGTTACCATTTTTTTCATGCTATCAAGCTCTTCTTTGATTGTCATATGGGCAAAAGTATGTTTTGGTTTATATACCACGAATTTTTAAGGAGTAGTAAGTTGTCATTTCTGGAACTCCAAAATCTTGGTTTCATCAGGCAAATCACACTGACTAATTAGGAGTGGTCAGTTATAAAACCTCCACCATTAGGTGCCAATGCGACAAATTTGTTTTATCATACACAAGCCAATTATCCTTATTAAGCTTTACCAAAACCAAAACTCTCCACCTCCCATCCTGAATTCATGCACGGTGCAGACTAGGATGAAACAAGATGCAAGGAAAACCACAGGATTGAAGAGACTGCATCTCTTCTGAGTATTCAATGACATGAATATCAGCATCCATGGGCGTCTCTTGATTGATAAGCACTTTCTTCAAGGTGATTAATATATTCCTTGCTATTTTCCAATCCCAAACCTTATTATGCCCCAACCTAACTCCAAGAGAGGGAGACCAAGCGGGAGAATAGAAGGGAGGAGACATAAGTCAAAATAAACTACACAAACATATCTGGACTGCAAAAGGACAATAAAAGAGGAAAGCTATATTATACAGAAGCTAACAACATGCTACAATTCTTGTAGTAAAATTTGGCTAAAGCCATGAAACAGGTTACGATAACTTACAAGGAATTCTCAGAGCTAACGAGTACAAGCCTACAAGCTAGTATTTGGTAAATCATCAACACAAGATTCTACTAAGTTGCATACGAAGGGACCCCAGGATCCAGTTTTGGCTGATACATTCACCTCCGAGCATGCGAGGCATCATATGTTCCCGTCCATGAAGGATTCCCAGCAGCACCAGTAACAGCTCCTGCTACAGCTCCAACTCCATCAGGAGCACCTGCAGTGATGGAACCACCATACGGGATCATTCCCGGGGATATAGGCCCAGCACCCATCGGAACAGCAGGTCTTCCATAATTATCAACATATCCACCACTACCATGTACAGCAGGTGGGTAGAATGTATGTGGATTGATGTTGGGTCCACCATACGTGTAGGGAGCTACACAGACAGCAAGCATTATTGCCTAAAGGGATCACATTGGAACTTGAGAAAATAATAACTTGAGAGGATTTCAAAAAACAAACTTGCTACCATGTGCTCTCTTCTCGACACTGAACACCTCGGCACGCAATCTTTCCAGTTCTCCATGCATGCCCACCATTTCCTTCTCCATGATTCGCATTTTTTCCACTTTTGCTATGTTTAAACCTTTTTCGTACTCAAATGTCATTCTTTTGCCCCAAAAGAAAGAAATTTGAATTAAATGCTTGCACTAATATCAGTTAATGGGTGATACCGACCAGAATAAGAAAGCCCAATATGTAGTAATCAGAAGCAACATTACTTTCCTGTTCACCAGAAAATTATTTATAAAACACACACATATCAAGCGCAAAGCAACAGTTTCCAAATCTAAAAAGAGATGCAGGGTGAAAAGCACAAGTGATTGTTTCCACACTTTTCCTGTTACTAACAAGGATAAATCACGTTTCGAACTGAAATTAAGCTTTACCACAAAACATAGCATCAAGGATTTCTTAGTCCATAACACGTAAAGAAAAGCTCAGAAGTGAATGTTTCATCTCATCAAAAAGATGATATTAAAACAATATGAACAGTTGACTCCACTCACCGTAACCTTTGATGTTCTTTCCTTAAACTATCGAGTTCAGTATTCATTTCCGGTAATTTTTTGACATCAGCACGGGCTTTCTCCAGCTCCTGACTGGCCTTTTGTATTTGAGCAGTCAGCTCTTTTCTAGCTAATGCCAGGCTCCGTGCCTCAGAATGTGCTTGCTGCAAGTCCTTCTTTACACTCTCACCAGCTCTGATGTCAACTTCCATTTTTGCTATCTTTTCCAATAATACACGAATCTGGATATCACTCTCAGTCTGCATGCTTCTAATATGATCTGCAAGCTTCTGCATTTCTTGCTGAGCAGCAACAAGATCCTGCCTCAAAGCCCCATGGGAGGCTGCCAACCTATGATTATCCACAGCAAGCTGCTCAATTTCCGCTGCCTGAACAGCCAATCTACTATCTAAAAGCTCAGGAGGAGGAAGTGGTTCCATCGGACGATGGCCAGCAGGCAATGCACCATGATGAATGAAAGCAGGACCTGGTACAGAACGTCCTTCATGTGCTGATGGTATGTGTTTTCTCGAAGTCATTGGATTAAAAAAAAGCCTCCTCAAGTAAGGGAGGCAAAGTATAACTTTCTCCCCGAGACTATGTAGGATAAATTACCTGCAATATCTTTAGAAGATGAACAATAAGAAAAAGTAAGAATCTCTTCCAGGTTCCATCTAGAGAGAGAAACACTTAAAGATGTACCCAAAAAGCAAGAAGCAGATACAGGAGAGTACAAATTATTCAGCTATTCGAACATGCATCATAGGACAAAGTGCACTTGAACTCATGGAGAATAATTTGGAATTCATATTTTAGTACACAAATTGAAGTATTGAATAAAAACTTTAAATAAAATCAACAACAACAACTAAAGAAATTAAACTACCATTGGCCAATATCTCATCTATTAGGTCAACATCAGACAAACAAGCATCATTTACTGGGATTAGGCAAAAGAACGTTGTAGTGCCAACTATAATCATAAATCAGAGTCAAATCATTCTGATTGTATAGAAAATTTTCCTACCAAAGTAACCAAGCCAGATGCCTTTTTCTTCCACGATAAGCTGACCAGACAAGAAAGCAGATCCGTAATCATTTTCAAACTCAGAAATCACACAAAAATTCTTCCTTCTGTGTCCTAGTACAGTTAAGGCCTGGGATTCCTGAGCATACTTTCAGAGACAACCATTTTGGAACAACTATGTAGTCTCTTTTTTGGGTGGAGAATCAAGCCATTTAAAGAATCACCCCAACAAATCAGCATTTTCCCCACTGAGAAGTTGTTCGGTGATACTGTTAATTTAACAATTAGAATTCCAAGTTCTTTCCTGAGAATCAATAATTAGCATGGTCAAAACTCCATTATCTAGTATTTGTCCTATTACATGACAAGAAGTCCACCTAAATGAGCATAAGGATCTAGGCATTGAGCTCAGGATCTAGGCATTGAGCATTCTCCACCCTCATCGAAGTTCATAATAATCAAGAAGTTACCATCACCATTATTGCATGATGATATAGTGTCTATGGAAATTTTTGCATTGTAGAAGTAACAAAGAAACGTTAAAGAAAATCACAAACTCTCTCTTTCAACGACTATTAATCATCATTTGTCACAAGATAGCAAGTAGCACATTAAAGCATGCCTCAAGCGTCATTAACATGTTAATATTCAGAAAGTTTTAATATGTTGATTATATGTTCAACACATGCAGTGTAAAGATCCATATCCTACAATGAACCAGAATTTAAACGTACCATTTATAAAAGTTGCCACGTTTCACACATCGGCATCTATGAAGCCTAGTTGCCATGCTTCACACACTGCCATCCTGCTTTTAGCACACGATTCTACATTACCACAATTTCTTATTACCTAGACTTCTCAATGGCACTTCCTAAAGATAGTCAAAATATTTAAGATCGAACTTCGCTCATATTTCCCCGTAATCTGAATTTGTATCATGCTTCCCAATAACCTAAAAGCAACCCAAAAAACGTTTCAAAAAAATCATAACTTTATCCACAGTGTCCTGCTTTTCACGAAATTATGCATCACCAGTATTCCCTAAATTTTTTTCCAAGAGCCCAGTGAAAAAGCTTAACATTGAAGATACCTCATACTTTCCTATAATCTAAGAACAACAGAAAATAATAATACAACAAAAAACAAAACAAAAAAATGAAAAAATGAAAAAAAAAGGATCAAAACTGTATGTTTCTTGTGCTCCTCCTCTAATTTCAAACCAAAGCCACAATTGCAAATGATCAAGATATGCCTATTTCACAGAAGGATGCAGCAAAAAGCTGCTGTCTCTCCTGAGCAGTACTCCTTCCGCATGCATAACCAATCAATGATTAATGCAACACAAACCCACGTAAAAATCTCCTGTTAAGGCTAAAATCAAGTGTCCCTTTTCCTTTTGCCATTAGAATGACAATTTTACGCTAAAGAAACAAGAATTGAACCCTGAACCATGAAAATTTTTTTCAAGACAAATTTTGGTTTCTTTAAGCAAATCGAAACAAGCCCAGATAAAGAAAACTGAAAGTAAGTAATTACCTGTTCTCAAGACTGATAAATCGGAGGGTTCACTCCAACCAGAGCTCATGAATTGGGAAAAATTGCAGCATTAGGAACCCACTCTCGTGGAGCCATGCCCATCATCTAATTGCACTCAAATCGTGGACTCGGGTCACCCAATTGTGGGCTTTTCTAACTCAAAACACCTATGGCCTTTCAAGGGATAATTAAACAGAGGGCAGGAACAGCCCAATAGGTGTTGGGTTGACGAACCCTGGAGTGTATTAAGAGTGGAAAGTAAAGAAATAGGTGTCATAAAATTTTGCAGTTTTTATTATTATCTTCTAGAGCCCTATAATTTTTAAAAAAAAAAAAAAATTTCCAACAGGGGAGGATGGGACCTAAGAAGCCGTGTAAGAGTAAGGGGATTTGAATTCAGAACTTCTAATTATAAGATGGAAGTGGAATATTTTTTAATTTGGGTTAATACATAATAATAATCCAATTTTTTGGATAGTTAATTTGTTCTTCTTTTTTTTTTTAGTTAAGTTTTTCTTACATTACACATTCTATTGGAAGGTACTTGTAAACTTTTACTTTTACAAAAATGTTTTCCTCCTATTGCCATTCCTGTTTGTGGACTAAAAAGTCAAAACCAAACGAATTGATATTGGAAAAACACTCTAGTAAGAGGATCATGAGAACATATGGAAGATACTCATTCCGTCTCATTTTGATAGTCTTATTTTCCTTTTTCATCTGTCCTAAATTATAGTCCATTTTCTAATTGAAGAATGTAGTTATCTTTTAATTTCTCTAAAATACCCTTAGTCAATGTAGGTTGTTATTAGTATAAACTACCTTATTTAACATAGATTGTTAACCTACCCCATATAATACATTTAGATTTAATGTGAAATAATATAAAATGAGGATTCATTCTTTCTTGACCATCAATTCAAGTTTTCATGAATAATTAATATAAAGTTGTACTTTATTTAATGTAAGGGTATTTTAGGAAAATAGCAACCTAATTTTGTTTTTCCAACAAAGTTAACTGCTTTTTCTTAAATTGTGTGAAAGAAAAACTAGAACTATCAAAATGGGACAGAGGAAGTAATATTTTTAAACTAAGGCTCATAAAAACTATGGCTCCGTTTGGATTACCTGTTTTTGGGGTTGTTTTTCAAAAACAGCACTGTAGTATTTCGTTTTTGAAATACAAGTCCGTTTGGATTAGTTGTTTTTGAGATTGTTTTTCAAAAACTATATGAAAAACTTTTACTGTAGATGTTTTTTGGATTATTTTTAGAGATATTTTTAAAACATATTTTGGGTATTTTTATAATTTATAATTTTTATAATTTTATTTTTATATACATTTATGCATTTATAATACATTTATAAATATTTATAAATAAATATATTTATATATTCGCTAAAAAATATATAAATGTATTATATTATATATAATACATAATATAAATATATTTATAAATGTATAAGTGTATATTATTATAAATGTATAAATTATAAATGAATATTATATAAATGTATAAATTATAAGTTATAATTTTTATATTTTTATATAAATATACATTTATGCATTTATAAATAAATATATTTATATATTTATATAAAAATATATTATAAATTTATTGTATTATATATAATACATAATATAAATATATTTATAAATGTATAAGTGTATATTATTGTAAATTTATAAATTATAAATGAATATTATATAAATGTATAAATTATAATGTATAAATTATAATTTTTATATTTTTATATAAATATGCATTTATGCATTTATAATACTTATAAATAAATATATTTATTTATTTATATAAAAATATATAAATGTATTATATTACATATAATACATAATATAAATATATTTATAAATGTATAAGTGTATATTATTGTAAATTTATAAATTATAAATGAATAGTACATAAATGTATAAATGTATAAATTATAAATTATAAATTATATATTTTTATATAAATATACATTTATAAATATTTATAAATAAATATATTTATTATTTATATAAAAATATATAAATGTATTATATTACATATAATACATATTATAAATATATTTATAAATGTAAAAGTGTATATTATTATAAATGTATAAATTACAAATGAATATTATATAAATGTATAAATTATAATTTTATTAATATATATTAATATTATGTATAAATGTATTAATATAATTAATATAAATGTACAAATGTATTAATATTATGTATAAATGTAAAATTAATATTATGTATATTAATATAAATATATTATAAATGTATTATATTATGTATAATACATAATATAAATGTATATTATAAATATACATTAATATATATTTTTTGTATAAATGTACATTTATATAAATGTAATATATATATTATATTATATATAATTTATATAATATATAATATTCATATAAATATATTATAAGTATGTAAAAATATTTTTTAAGTAAAATAAAATATTTATAATATGTAAAAATAAATATATAAATATTTAATATATATAATATACATTAATATTAATTATAAATATTATAATATTATAAATATGGTGTTTATATAATATTTCAATTTGTAATATTTATTGTATATTTCATTATATAAATATTCATATAATATATAATATATAATTTTCAATTTGTATAATATACATAATATTGTATATATATAATATATTATATTATACATTATTACATTATTACATATTATGTATATTATATATTATACCAACATTATTAGACATTATTATACACAATAATGTACAAAATAATATTATACATTAATAATGTATATATTATAATATAATGTACATAATATATTATGTATAAATATTTACACATTTATGTATACAATATTACATATTATGTATATTATATTATGTATATTATAATATATTATGTATAATATTAATGTATATAAATATTTATATAATATATAATATATATAATTTTCACTTTGTATATTTCAATTTATATTAATATAATATATATATATATATATAATATACATAATTGAAATATACATATGTAGTTGTTTTTGATATAATGTTTGGATATGGTGTTTTTGGAGTTGTTTTAGAAATACACATTTACTGTAGCATTTGGGATGTGAAAAACAGTTTTTCAAAAACAGCTCCAAAAACAAGGATCCAAACAAATTAAAGTAGAGGGTTAAAGATAGGCTTAAAGCTCTCACACCTAAGTGACATGTTAAATGGCATTTCATGGATTCACTTAGTTCATGGGAAGGAGGAGTTAATTCATGATGCATCCAAGTGTACCATCTCTAAAATAATAATAATAATAATCTAACGGAGACATTTGAAACTACAAGCTGTTCAGCAATTAGACATCCATTTTCCAATCCCACTTACTTAGTGCGAAGAATTAGGGCCGGCAAGGAGTGGACGCCTGTCGAAATAAGCAAAATCGCTGGTGTTTCAACTGATTATATTAGCCACACAAAATGCTGCAATGCCATTCTTGAGTAACAAGTCAGCTCCTCCATTCGAAAAATCACCAAATGTTTCCTTTGTGCTTCACTGCTTAGTTTACACGTACTAAGGTTTCATCATTCATTGTAAAATGCACCAACTTTGTAGTTAGCTCACCAACAGCTATAAATAGCTGAAATTGCATGCAATTAGACATGTAGAAACTAAACCTTATTCTACTCGGAGGATTCTACCAGCACCTTGTAAGTTACAACCGCATCACCCTTGACCGACTTTGTCTATCATTTTCTAGCCACCAGACATAAAATTAGACGATCTTGATTAGCTATAGACTTTGGTTGTGAGAAATGGCACCAATCAAGTCCTTAGCATTAGTTGCATTTCTTCTTGCATGTTCTGCTCTTATATCTGAGTGCAGGGTGGCGAGGAAAGACTTGGGAGTGGATCTTGGTGGTGGTATAGGAGTTGGAGTCGGAGCAGGAATAGGGTTGGGCATAGGAGGAGGTAGTGGTGCGGGTTCCGGGGCTGGTTCAGGATCTGGTTCTGGTTCAGGTTCCCATTCTAGCTCGAGCTCATCATCAAGTTCATCAGCTTCTTCTTCAGGGTCGGGGTCTGGATCAAGTGCAGGATCAGAGGCGGGTTCATATGCAGGATCTAGAGCTGGGTCCGGGTCTGGATCAAGTGCAGGCTCCGAGGCTGGTTCATACGCAGGATCTAGAGCTGGATCTGCATCGGGGCAAGGACGTGGTCGTGGTTCAGGATCTGGTGCTGGGCATAATTAAAGACTCTAGCCTTGTTCAAGATTATTGAAGTGGAAGTGGCAGAGAGTAAAGATTCTCATGCAAAGCCTACTAGTAACAGTAAAATTTGCAGCAAATAATTATCGTCTTGCATCTAAATAAATTATGAGTAGCACAACCGCTTATCTACCACCTATTGTAAAAGTAGATGTGTGTGTCTTGAACTCTTACTTCAGTTGTAATCATTAGTTATGGATTGTTTAACAGCTGCTTTTTTTTTTTCCTCCAAGTTTATGTTACCTCATCTCGTACAACGTGAGTTTCTGTTGGTTTATTGTTCAATGAGGTTCTAATATACACCTGTTTAATTAGGCGTAATACCAGTTGATCAGATCTCAAAATAATCATCAAATAAAAAAATGATGAAATTAAACTATATGAGAAATAAAGCATGGAAGAAAAGAGGTGGAAGCTAGTTATAATTTGTTCAATTTTTCCCTAACTTCGTACTGCTATTTACAGGACAGTCGTGAAAACGAGACTTCGGAAGACAAAAACAAGATACTTGGCCAATCTGGGAAAATGTATCACTTAGGTACCAGGGACAAGGGGAGGATACAGGAGAATCCCAATAAGAAACAGAACAAATTCGGCTCCTGAATTTATGTTGTTGTCTTTTCAGTACCAGGAGACCTTAAAGATAAATCATAAATGTGCTTAAACCTAGTGCTCTTGGCATATTCTCCCATCGTGATCTTTATAATGATGGAGATCACTATTTTTTTTTGGTGAAAATAGGGATTAAATATTAATAAACAACAGAGTTTTGCCCTATCTATTACAAAGCAAAGGAGATAGTGCGGGGAAAACAGATCCCTTTCAAGTCCTCATCATAGACAAAAGCGAGTTCTTGAGGACAATTAGCAAAAGTTACAAAGTTGGATTGTAATCTGCCTCCCATTCTTGCGAGTGCGTCCGCGCATCTATTTGCCTCCCGGTAAATGTGGGATATTTTAACATGCCGCAGCTGCGAAAGGAGGGATCTGCAATCCGAAATGATAGAGTTCAAAAGGTGATTAGGATTGGCAACAGCTGTTAACAAAGTAATAATAGCTTCGCAGTCAACTTCAACTTCAAGTTGAGAAATTTTTAAGGAAAGGGCTATTTCTAGTCCATCTCGGATACCCCAACATTCCGCCAGCATGCTGTTTGTAGAACCTAAGTTTCTGCAGTATCCTTTAATCCAACATCCGGAGGCGTCTCTGATAACACCTCCAGCTCCCGCTGGACCTGGGTTTCCTAAGGCTGAGCCGTCTGAATTGAGCTTGAACCAATGGAGGATTGGAGGAATCCATCTGATAAGAATATGGGATTTTCTGCGAGGGGGGTGGCCAGAATTTGGGCCAAGGGAGTAGAACTCAGTGGCCAACTTGATGCTGGTTTTGGTTGGAGGAGGTTGTGTTCTGTTGGGCTCGAAAATCTTTTTATTCCTGGATTTCCAAATGGTGGAGCAAGTAAAGGCAAAGAGTGTGCCCCAAGGAATATTGTAGAAAGGGGAGGGTGTGGAAAGTTTACAACCTTCCCTAATCCAGATGTGAAAAGGAATGTGTAGAGTGGATAGATAGTAGTTGGGATTGAGCTCCATCCAAACAGCTTGGGCGTGGACACATTTGCGCAAGACATGATTAGTATCCTCTATCAGTCCTGGGCAGAAAGGGCAGATATTATCAGGGAGGATGTTTCTCTTATGAAGGAGGTATCTTGTTGCTAGTTTGTCTTGAGAAGCTAACCAGAGGAATAATTTGGTTCGATGGGATGTGTGAGTAGTCCAAATCCAAGTGAAAGACTGGCTTGGAGGATGGGGTGTTTGGACATTGGGTTTGGCCTGAATATATAGCAAACTAGTGATCTCATATGCAGATTTTAGACTGAACTCACCATCAGGAGAATTCCTCCATATAAGGTTGTCTGCTTGTTTAGAATGGTGAGGTCTAGGAATAGCTTTTAGCAGGTCGGTAATGGAAGGGGGTAGATGGAAGGAAATATTATTGAAATTCCAATTACCATTGCTGTCAAAAAGATCTGATAGGAGTAGTTGATCTTCCTCTGGTAGGAGTGGTCCTTCAATTAAGGATCTGAGGGTGCTTGCTGAGAACCATTTTCCAGACCACACTTTAATTGTTTTACCATCTCCTATGTTCCAACCCAACCCTTGGTTGAAGATGTTGTTACCGTGTATGATATTCCTGAGATTTATGGAACCTCTAGATTTGCAGAAGCTAAGAGGGGATTCTTTCAAAGGTTGGTTTCTATGTAAGTAGAGATCTGAAAGAATTTGAACCCAAGGACGATGTGTGTTTTTCATCATCTGCCAATTGAGTTTGGCCAAGTTAGCTTTGTTCAAAAGGGCTGATTGTCTCAATCCCAAACCACCCTCCTTTTTGGGGAGGGTAACAGTTTCCCACTTAATCAAGTGGAGTTTTTTCTTCCCCTCTGTGGAGCCCCAGAGGAAATTTTTCTGTTCTCTATCGATGGCATCACAGATTTTTTTTGGGATATGTGCTGCTTGGAAGAAATAGGTAGGGATGGAAGATATGCATTGTTGGATAATTGTCTTTCTCCCAGCAAAGGACAACAGGTTTGCTTTCCAGCCTTGGAGTTTGGATTGAATTTTTTCCAAAAGGAAGTGGAAGGTTTTGGCTGATGCTTTCTTCACACTAAGTGGAAAGCCAAGGTATTTTCCTAGGTCTCGGGTACCCTGAATGTTTAGAGTCCTGGTGATAGAGTTTTTAGTGAATTCAAGGGTGTTTGGGGAAAATAGAATCCTTGACTTGGAGTGGTTGATACGGAGGCCAGAGAGGTCCCCAAAAATGTTCAGAATATTTTGGATAGTGGTTATAGAGGTATCATCTGTCCTTGAGAAGAGGATGATGTCATCTGCAAACAGACAATGTGACAGACAATGTCTAGATCTCCCAAACTTGAGAGGGGTCCAGTTGTTACCATCCACTTCTTTGGTGATAGCCATTGACAGGTACTCCATGCAAATAATGAAGATGTATGGGGATAAAGGGTCTCCTTGTCGAATGCCTCTAGAAGGGGAAAAAAAGTTTGTTGGGGATCCATTTATGAGTATGGCCAAATTGGTAGATGTAATGCAATGAAGAATGAGGTTGATGAGGGATGGGGGAAAATCAAAGAAAGTGGGGGCTTGATGAATAAAAGACCATTCAAGACTATCATACGCCTTATGAAGATCAAGCTTGATGGCACACAACCCATATTTGCCCTTTTTATTTTTAAGCCTGTGAATGGCTTCTTGGACAAGCATGATGTTATCTGTTCCACTTCTACCCGAGATGAAGCTGGATTGGAGAGGGGAGATGATGGTTGAAAGGATTGGTCTAAGTTTATTAACAATGGTCTTGGCTAGTATTTTATAAGTGGTATTGCAGAGTCCTATGGGTCTAAACTGCTGAATGATATCCGGGTTGTCAAGTTTGGGAATCAAGCAAATTAAAGTATCGTTAATCCCGACTGGAAGGGGCTTTTGATTGTAAGCATCATGTATGAATTGGGTGATTGAAGGAGCAAGGAAATTCCAAAATTTCTGGTAGAAAATAGGGTGATAGCCATCCGGCCCAGGACATTTGAGAGGTTTCAAATCAAAAACAGCCTTTTTAATTTCTAGGATGGTTGGGAGGGTGACTAGGGATATTTTGGTTTCTTCCTCCAGATAAGATTTCTGAAAAGGGAAATTCTGTGGGTAAAAGGATGACTGAGAGTGGTGAGAAGTAAATAGGGAAGAGAAGAAATCAAGGATATGGTTTTTAACAACATCACTATTGGTCAGCCATTTACCTTCATTATCTCTCAAGGAAACAATTTTATTCCGTTTCCTTCTACAGAGGGTAGAAGTTTGTAGAAATTTGGTATTGAGGTCATCTGATATAGCATAGTCCAATCTAGATTTCATAATCCAGAGGGATTTTTCCTGATGAAGGATTTCCTCATACTCAAAAAGCAACTGTTTTTCTAAAGACTCTAGGAATATAGAATGGTGAGATTGCATCGCTTTTTGAGCACCTTGGAGTCTGGCTAGGATCCTCTTTTTCTTAAAGAAAATATTCCCAAAGGTCTTTTTACTCCAGGAAAGGATGTTAGAAGTGAGGTTTTCGATAGAATTGGAGATAACAGAGGGGGGCCCAGACCAAGATTGATGAAGGAGTTGTGGGAATTCTGGGTGAGACATCCAAAATTTCTCCAGTCTAAAAGGTCTGTTTAAGGAATTACTAATAGCCGGTTGGAGGTCGAGAAGAATTGGACAATGATCTGAATGAATTCTTGCAAGGTGGTGTATTTGTGCCTCAGGAAAAAGGTTAATCCATTCAGGGTTACAAAAGGCGCGATCCAGCCGTTCGTAAATATGGCCTAGATCCCTTCTAAAACACCGCCAGGTGTAACGAGGCCCATTGAACCCTAAGTCTAACATGTTGTGTGTGTGTGTGTAGATGTAGACACACACACACCAGGCTTAATAGGATTCTGGCAGCATCACAGATTTCTCCACTAAAGAGGGATCCCTCCACGATCACGGTGGTCATGGCGCCGCCGCCAAGGAATCACTGGAAAATCCGATACATCCATGAAACCCCATCCATCCATCCACGATCCTCACAGTAGATTTCACCCACCGGAGTAGCAAGCGATGACAACGGCCAAACACCCAGTAGAGCCTCCAATACCAGACCCTGCCATTTCTCCCCAAACTGATATTCATGTAAGTTCAACAACCACACCTGTAAACCATAGTATCTCCCAGACACAACTTCAACTTCCCTCACACTCTGTTTCGCCTGAAATTCATAATTCCACTTCCATCCTCCATGCCCCAAAGTCCCCAAAACGCTCCTACAAGGACTGCCTCATATCTGATAAAACCTCTTCAATCATTCAACTAGACCTCACCCAAACTGAACTAGCGTCCCCTATAAACTTTTCTGAAACCCATACCCAAACCGGGTCCCTTACCATAGATTTCCCCCCCAAACTCACAGATAGACTCAGAGAACCTTGGAAATTCACTCTGATTGCTAAACCTCTGGGGAGAAGCACGGGTTTTAGATACTTCGACCAAAAAATTCGTCATATCTGGAAATCTAGTGGCGAAATAGCAATCCTAGATCTGGGTAGGGATTTCTTCGCAGTTAGATTTAAAAACCCGGAAGATCATCTTAGAATCTTAACGGGCGGCCCGTGGTTTATCAATAAATCTCTTATTTCCATTCGCAACTGGTGCCCATTTTTTAATGCTTTCGATGCGAAAGCATCCACAACAACTGTCTGGATCAGACTACCAGGACTCCCCCTAGAATTTTATGATCAAGAAGCACTCTCTCTCATTGGAAATAAAATCGGGAAGCTCATTAGAATTGATGCAAGGACGGCCAATACAGAACGTGGAAGATTCGCCAGGATGTGCATCGAGCTAGACATTACTCGCCCTCTGCCTACCTCAATCCAACTAGATGGACACCATCAGTTACTGATCGTAGAAGCTCTGTCCTTCTGTCCTAGTTGTGGTATGTTGGGTCACGACCAAGCTTACTGCCCTAAGCCCACCTCCGATGAACAAACGGAAGCACAGCCGGGAGGAGGGACATGGAGACGTGTTCAGGCGTTCGCCGGCAAATCGTTTTCTATGTCAGGAAAGCGACCTCTCCTTCGTAAACCCAACGGTCAGCATTTTTCAATTTCAAACGTTAAGTCCAGGCCTTCCCGACCCATAAGGCCTCATGGCCCAGGTGTTGGTCAACCCAAAACCCAAACCTCTAACCGGGTCCCTATATTCGGTACCACAGATATCCCTATTAGAAATAATTTTGACTTGCTTTCTGATGTTGACTCTGTGCTTTCCAACGGCGCCAAAATTGCTGAGCCTCCCAGACCTGCCACCGAACATCAGTCCCAAAATTTCCTGCCTAGTGCTCCTTCTCCTACATTGAAACTTCCTAGCAAACAGTTGGGAGAAATTTTGCCTGCAAATGGGAAGTGCACTTTCCAACCTCCTCCACCTCCTGCTTCCAAAAATGACCTGTCGAAAGCCAGCTTCGATTACCTCCCTTCGGAAGACAGGCTTAGCCCCCACGCCATCAGCTACATATCCAAAACCGGAGAAGTTCTTTCATCCACCTCAACCTCAGAAAAACCCTACGATACTCTCACCAAAACCTCCCCAGCTCAGTATGAACCACCAACAAGCCTCAGCAATGTCCCGGAGGACGAGAACCAACCTGAGAAACTCTCACCCCTCTTACCAAACCCACCAAGTTTGGAACCACTACCCCCCACACAGATTGGAAGAACACCCCCAAGCACCGCATCTCAACCACATGTTCAGGGAGGAGGAGTGGGTTCTGATATGCTCCCACAGAGTGGTAGACCCACTCCTAGTCGCGAACTCACATCTCTCCTTGGAAGAGATCCGCCAAATCCAGGACCAACACAGTTTGGGAAGAATACAGATTTGGGCAACTCAAACCAGGATAGCTTTTATCACAGACCTGGACCCAGAAGACCATCTAACATCAAGGAACAGGGAGGTGAGGGGAATCAGAGCAGGGAGACCTCCATACGAACAACACCACCAAAGGCCAAACCGCCCACACAACCGGCCACATCAGCCCCAGACTCAGCCACAAAGGGACTACCCGGAACCAAGGAGACACTCAAACCGCCACTATCGATGGAACCCATCATGGAGGAGGACTCAGAATCGCCCAGCGACAGCTCAGGAGACTGCTCAGAGGAGAGATGCCCAGGAACCCACGGGCTCAAACCTCGCTCCAGAATACGAAACAATGCCACAACTGTACGTCCGGCAAGAAGTACTCTCCATATCCCCACTTTCAGTCACTGCCAGAGACTCTCAAAGCTCTGTCACAATTATCACGCCGATAAAAGAAATGTTAGCCGTAAAAATATTCATGACGGCCATCGAACTGCTAGGCGTAGACTCCAGAGACCACTCCTTAACACTACGCCCAAGATTCAGTCGAGAGTTTCACTTTCCCGTCAATATCTACGACGGAAATCCCAGCTCCCAAGTGAGGCCTCAGAGCCCACCAGAGCCGATGATGCCCAACCCATTTCCTGACTCTATGAAGATCCTTTTCTGGAATGTCAGGGGTGCGGGACACCCGAATTTCAAAAATCACTTTCTTCAACTTGTCCAGCTCCATAATCCCGCAATTGCTATTCTAGTAGAAACTAAACTCCACGGAGACAGAGCACGCCATATTTGCAGTCAACTCCCGTTTGACAATTTCTCAGTGGTCGACTCTTCCGGGTTCAAAGGTGGAATGTGGCTACTGTGGAACAAGGCAGAAGTTCGCGTAGATCCTATCTCAAACCTTTCGCAGGTCATCCACGCTTCAGTCCAGGTAACCCCCTATTCACCCCCTTGGATTCTTTGTGGAATTTATGCTAGCCCACAGTTTCAGGAAAGAATCCAATTATGGAATAGTTTGTGTTCCTCTAATAACCCACTACAAGAAATTTGGCCTTTTGTGACAATACAAAGTCATCACTAAAAATCCAAAAGTCGTCATTATATGAATATAGTGACGACTTTTCCCATTGTCACATCGTTGTCACTAATTCTATGTCACAAATAGGTACCTGTGACAACCTATATAAAGTCGTCACTAAATATTAATATTTAATGACGAAGAATAAGTCGTCACTAATGAATAGTTTTCTGTGACGACATTTCTTGTCACTGTTGCAAAAATTTTTTTGTCATAAAAGATAGCAAAAGTCGTCACAAATGTGGACCTGCACAGTGACGACTTGAACTTGTCACTCTCACTCCTAGTATTCTGTGACAAGAATGGTCGTCACTTACAAATTTGTCTCCAACAGCTGCAATTGTTCATTCCAAATATAACATTGCCATGGCTCTCGTTCTGATAGTTATAGCCAAAAAAATTAAATTTGGCTAAGAGTGACATCTTTTGGGGAGGTTGTCACTGAATTTTTTCTAAAGGAGTTGAAATTAACCGATACAAATATAGTATTGCCATGCCATTTTCAACAAATATAACAAAACATTCAATATGACAAAAGGCAAAACCAACATAGAATATATGCCACAAATTCATATATTTGGCCATAACACATCTCCAAATTAGTCAAAACAGAAGTGAACCACAAATGTTGGGAATATAGTAATCCCACATAATCAGTTGTAAGTTCTAATGGCCAATACATATCCTTCCCAAAAGATAGAATACTAGATTTTGCCACTAAAGCATAGACTACACAGCTGTGGTCAGATTTTGAGCATCTCTTGCAGCACGAGCATCAGTCTTCTCACGATCAAAATATGAAGTTAGACTGCATTGAAAATAAACTTTTCTTTAGAGTTTCAGCATATCCAACTACTGTGAACTTAAGTAAAAAAAAATCAGTCAAGCTATGTTAGTGCACTCAATAATAACCTGAATAATAAGAATGCGCATGTGCTTTGTTAGTGCACTCAATACAAGCTAACACTCTGTTTTGCAGAAAAGAATCCAATACTATCAACTATTTCCAGGAACTCCATTTAACTTGACCAATTGTTTTTCCAATAAATCATCCTCAAGTGCTTAAGGTCTCACTAAGATACTAGTTTCAATTCACCAAGCATACATCAAAACCCTTCCTTATTCAAAGGCTTATACTTCAAGAGGAAAACAGAGATGCAATATAACAGCATTGCCAATTGCAGATTTCAGCCTTATGTACAGAAGGTCTTCTCTTTCTTCCAATAGCTAACTTCATCCAGCTTGCCTTGTGGCACTGGTTCATATTTCCATTTGAATTTCTATTCATGGCTTTGGTTTGTGTGGATTCTATACACTAGGTGCAACAAAAATTACTAAAATTTGCAAAGATTTATATTGTGGAAAGAATGACAACTCACTTTATGATCTACATCTGTGTTATGGCTCAACCATGCATAGGCCTCTTTGAAGTCATAAAAAATGCGAAGGCCATCATGAGATTGACTTGTTAGCACTATGAAGGGTATTGAACATGCTTCTGCTGCTGCCCAGACACAATGAACCTACATGAAAAATCATCTGTAAATAGTGAAGAGCTCAACCAGGAAGCCAAAGAACAACATGGAAATCCAGCATAAGGACCAAAAAGTACAACCAAACTTTTAAGTGTTGCTTTCATCTCAATCTTTTTGCGAACTTTTCAGAAAGCACTCACAGGTTATATTATAGTATTTGGAGTTAAATTTGCAAAAAATGTGTAATTCAGAATGGCACGACTAAAAGAAAGGTCTAAATATTACATTGACAAGACCTTTTTATTATGGGAAAAAATGCTACCACAGTCATAACAGCTACAATTGGGTTTTTCTCAGTCATGAGCAGCAAACTAGTAACAAACAAAAAGATAAAAGAATTCCTCTTTTACTAGACCAAATTAAGCATACATACCACATAGAACGCAACCAACAAAACTAGTAAAAATATAGCAATGACAGATGCTTCAACAAGTAAAACCAAAGACCTTCTCTAATCAGATGTAAAAATTTCTGATGTACTAGGCAACTGAAATTTGAGCGAATGAGTAAGAACATCAAAAGCTCCTGAAAGAGAAATTCCAGGCATTTTGCATACTGCTGGACCAAGTACAAGCATTAGTGGCACCTGTAACAGCAAAAGAGAACGTTGCTCAACATAGTGGAAGCCAAGAGAGAATAGTATTAAGCTTACATATTTCAAATTAATCTCACCATGACACCTGAAAAATATACTAATGTAACTATGTAAAGGATGCTAAAGGAGCTTGCATCAGAAAGTGGCAAAAAGCATGCCTGCAATTGCAAACAAGATAGATTGGATATGAGTAGCCACTCCACTAGAGAGAACTATATGTATAAAGTTAAAGCATCAAATTTCAAGTTTGGTTACTTCTTTTGCCTTGAAACTACTTAGATAGATTCCAAGCAAATCATGAACTCGCAACTAGAATTCGACAGACAGAAGAGACTCACGGATCAAGCAGACTTAGACTACGCCCACTCCAACCCTTAGTTGGGCTGGAGGCTACTAATGCTATAAGTACAGTCACCATGGCACAGCAAATTACCCTGAAATTTGAATGACAAGTAATTAAGTCAACCAAAAAATTTTTATGAAACTCTTAGCTACTACTTACACAATATAACAGCAAGCAAATTTCTTTACAAACTACAAGTAAAGGCACTTATAGGCCAACTGAAAACACAAGCGTAACAGCCACTTTTAACATTCTTAGTGACAGAATCCCTTTAATATAGTAAACAAGAGCTACAACATGAATAATAATAAACACCTGTACATGCCCAAGAATGGAAAAGTAAAATTAGAGATTAAGAGCAACATAAGGCATAAATTTAAAAAGATTGAGAAGCATAAAAAAAGTAAAAGCGAATCCCTGACTACAGTAATAGCGAATGAGAAAGCAAGAATGGCAGAAAAACCAGCCAGTTGGAACTAACCAAAAATGAAGCAAAATGCTCGGATGCCATGACCGGATTAAAGCCCAGAACAGGGACCAAAGCAGCCAACAATGTTCCCAAGACAACTTATATTTGAAATTACAAAGACATTAGTACAAGGATGAGTAGAATAACAGCGTTAAAGAGGCATATTTATCTTAAAGACATTACTAATTCAATATAAATCAAAACAGATTTGGACAATACTACAACCAGACATAAAAACCGATAATACAGCCCAAACCAAAACCATAGAAACAACTAAAAAGCTGGAGATTGATGCCAAGGGTAAAAATAAAGACATAAAATAATAGGTCACTTACCATAAGAAATTGTGGATTCAACATATCTGGAGTTCAATTCAAACTCCTCTGCCACTTCAAATACGCTAACAAACATGTTTCAAGAGCAAATTACCAACTGTGGTAGCAATCACAATGGTCAAACAAACTAGAGAACGGATAATCCATAAGTCCAGCAATTGAAAAGAAATATGGCTCGCTATGGCTCTAAAACCCTGGTAAGGACGATGATCAATGCAATAAAGGTAAACAGCAAAAGAGAGATAACAAAAATTTCGAAGGTAAAATCCTTCAATGTCTTAGTAATTCAATTTCATCTCCTAACGGCAATTAGAGTTTTCCGCTGGTAGATGAATATATCAAAACTGCCTTTGACATTGACAATTTCCACTTTGGAGTGCATAAAATTAAAACGCAGATACAGGTACATCAGATTTCATAAATCTAGCACTTCGACTCACTTACTAAACCAATAACCAAAACAATTAAAAAAAACTCCAAATCGACTATACTAATAATATTTCTTAAGCAGTAGACCAATCGCACATTTAACATTTTTCCTCCGAGAGAGAGAGAGAGAAGGTCCTTTCCATAATCGATATTAAATTATTCATCCACATCACCTACCTACTATGTGCGTACAATAATTCCCCATCCAGACACATAACAGAATATACCTGCTTGAGTTCAGGCCTAGACAAATTGGACATGGCGAAAATTTTCATAGCATCATTGCCAGTCAAGCAGCTATCGCCGTCTGCACAAAAGGAAAAGTAGAATGCTAAGTAAATAAATCTATAAGAAAGAAAGAAAAGAAAAAAAAGAAAGAAAGAAAGAAAGAACATAGTTAACGATTAATTGGAAGGGAAGAACAGCAACTGAATTAATTTGAACGAAAAAGTTATGACCAAAAAAAGAAGGAAAACCTGAGTCGGCGAAGTTGAACCAATACTCAAGATTTAAGTGGAAAATTTGACCCATAAACTCAAGATTCAGTCTATCCGACCTACATTTGACAAAAAAATATCGAAATTAGATGGAAAATATTGAGATTACATACCTCAAATTATGCCTTCACTCCCTTAGCTCTTGTTTTCCTTAAGATTCAGTCTTCGAACTCTGGCTTTCCCCCAAAATTCACGGCCAATTTTCTGTGTTCTTGCCAGCAAGCAAGTGCAGCACCAATCTAGGGATTTTTGCTATTTGCGAGGTCACTAAAGTTGCCCAAATCCTTTGGGTAGCTCAAATTAGGGATGAAAAAGGTGATTTAAAGTGATTTTGTGGATAATTTCAGCAAGATGACAGTAAAGCATAAGAAGAAATGGAGAAGATGATAATGTCCGAAACTTTCAACGAGAGAGAGAAAATGCGGTACGAAAATTTTCAACGAGAAAGAAGAAATGATAAGTGTTGTGAGTGTTTTAGTTTAACTCTTGCCAAAACGACGTCGTTTCTATCTCATTTTGTTCACCCCGCCTCTACACCTTGAATTTTCAGCTTCCCGCTTCCATTTTAACTTAGCACAAAAAGTAACGCTTTCATTCTTTTTTGTACAAACTATTTGAACCTTTCTTTATAAAAATAACGCCTTCTCTAATATCTCTTTTTTTTTTCCCATCTATGTGTAATTAAGATTGTTTATTATTTTGAACTTTTTTAACTCACAAGTTGTATTAAAACTTTATTTGTAATATTAAAACTTTAGAATATGAAATTTTAATATTTTTGGATTTTTTTTACTAACATAGGATTTTTTTTGGATCTCTATGACAAAATAATGTTCAAAAACTAAAAATTTTATTGAATAGGATTTTCTTAAAAATTTTATTAATGTTCAAAATAATGTTTATTGAATTTTTTTCTTTTTTTTATTAACATAGGTTTTTTACTAAATTTTGAAAATTTATTTTTACCGAGCAGCTCAGCAAAGGTCGAAAACTTGAATCAAAGCATCTCGACATTAGGATCTCTACCAAAAATAATGTTCAAAAACTAAAAGGCTTATTACAAATATGTTTATGATTCAAAAAAAGATCTTTAAAGGCAAATATTTTTGTTATCAATTTAATAATGTTATCAATTATGCACGAAGTGTGGTCTGACAAGACCAAACAATCTGTTTAGTTGATCAAATAACCAAAATGGTTTACTAATACATATATGAAACACTAAATCTATTTGATACAAGTACTGATTCATTAACCATAGATCCAATTTGATTATTGTAAATTGTAATACATAACAAACTCCAGTCATGCAATTGTCAAAATTTTTACTTAATTTCATATTAAATTTTATTATTCTCTCCGCTTATTATTTTCACACTATGTTAATCAGTAATTTCCTATATATTGTCAAGAGAACTAAATAATGAATTCATAATATTTTTTAAATTTATAACTAGCTATTAGTTAAGTTTGGAATAATTAAAAAATAGGTAAACATCTTTTTTTACAATACCTTCCTCATTTTGCTAATGATGAATATAACCTAATGTGTAAAAGCATAGGGTGCCATAATAGAATTAATACAACCTTTCTTTATCGCATACGAGGCTAAATTGCAAAAGACACTAGTGTCATGGTAGAGTTAATGAGATTAGTTTACCAAATATGGGCCTAAAATATAAAAGTTCAGTGAAATAACATAATTAATTAAATTTATTTACAACACATGGGCCATATCAAAAAATTAATGTGGTATATGGGGCTAAAATGTAAAATTTAGGGTGTCATAGTAGAATTAATAAAATTTATTTATAACACATGGGCCATATTGAAAAAATTAAGGTGGTATATGGGGTCAAAAAGCAAAAGTTAGGGTGCCATAATAGAATTAATAAAATTTATTTACAACATATGGGCCATATTGAAAATATTAGGGTGACATAGTAGAATTAGTGAAAGTGGGATGAGAATAAACGCTTTGTACAGTGACGACTACTTGTTGTCACTAATTTAGAACGTATCACCATACTGTGACGATATTAAAAAGTTGTCACTGAAATTGGTCCTACAGTGACAACGTCTTTTCCAGTCGTCACAATGTTGATCTCCTGCCAGACTGCATAGTTGCGCGCCATCCATACTGTGACGACTTATCCCTTGTTGTCACTGTTGACGGGTGAACCCACGATCAAGCATGACGACTTTTAGTGTTGTCACTAAAGTCTTCAATTGTGACAAGTTTCTATGTTGTCACAGAGAATGTTGTCACAAAAGGCCAAATTTCTTGTAGTGACCCCAATCTCCCTTGTGTTTGGATGGGGGATTTTAATGAGATTTTAATGAGTTCGGACAAGAAAGGGGGTAACCCGATTAGTCCAAATAGAGCCTGTTTATTCAAAGAGTGATGGAGATCACTATGAGCTACACACATAAGGATATATTTTCTCATAGAAGAACACTTGCTTCAGAACAGACCAGCGCAGGTATTAGTCATGACAGGAACTGACGTCTAGGAAAAACTTGGAGGTATTAACTAGGTTTCGTAAGGAATCCTCCAATGATTAAAAAGTCGACACCAAAAAACCAAAAAAAAATCAGATTTAACAGGTGAACCGCACCCGAAAAAACAAAAAATAAACCAAGGCTCTGGCATATGCATTCGTCGTAGGTAAATTATTTGGGATAAACATGTACCACTTTTCTTGGGTGTCCAGGTCATCTGTTCTAGCAGTTTCTGAATCGTTTGATACTTCACCCCATACTATTTAGAAGTTAATTAGAGTATTATGCAGCCCCTTGTTTTTCTTTTAAAAGTGTAAATTTAATTAATTAATGTAATGATTTTAGTGACTTCCCACATCTTCTTGGTTTGGATGGTTATCTTTACTTGCAATATCAGGCAACACCAATATCAAAGCAAGCCCCTACCTAGTTGGACAATCTATGGCCTTACTCTCAGTTGATTATTTTAATTGGTTATAGATTCTAATATTGGATAATTAATTTTTATGATGCTCTCGATTGATTTTGCATTCTGATTATAGTTTTTTTTTATCACCAAAAAAATTAAAATTTATAATCATTCAAAGAGTAGCATTACTTGTTCTGATTATCTCTATAAATAATTTCTATAATCAGATTATATAAAATCTAAAGCAATCGAGAAGAAGGCCTATGTGTAGAATTTAGAAAACAAAGCCCGAATTGTTTCGTCTAGAACAGACAGTTTTTAACATATTTAAGAACATAAATGAAGGTAATCAAGTCTACATTTTCCCTCCCCTTCTTGAACTGATTGGAGTTTGTTTATCACTTTATCCCCATTATTAAGTGTGCCAAAATACTTCTAGATTATTGATCAATCAACTTCCGAAAAATCAACCCATAGCATGATATAACAAGCCAAATTAAGCATGTCAATTGACAAGCCTCCATCTGAGAGGTTGACTTTGCGCTAATCATTTTCAACGGATTGCTTCTCTTACTGCACCATTTATAGCACTATAAAGGCATTAGAAGGACAATTATTGATACTAATACCAATTGTTAATTAATGGAATTGTTACACCTCACCCTCCATTCAGAAGTTCCTTACTTTATCATCAATTTTCAAATTATTTTCGGGGGAATAATCATCCAATCTCAAGGAAACGAGTTTGACAAACAATTAGCCTTTTACATTGTTTAGTCCCTTTCCATAGCACATTTTTTCATCCTTAACTAAAAATATTATACTATTTAGTGCATGCAAATACATCAAAAACTCTCCACTACGTTAGTGGAATTGTGGGTCGGCACCATAACATGATAATATGGCCATCGCACATGACACTCCCTACAGCTTTTGCATTCCATGCGTTAGCTTTTCTCGTCCACAAACTTTGCTTCGTTTTCGTTCAACGTAAAATCTTCATCTTCAACAGTATTCTGAATAATATAATTAATACAATTGTCCCCCACTTCTTTTCTTTTGCAAGTTTGGAACTTTTCTCACCAACTTTGCTTCTTGTACAACTATAAATACCTCAATTTTTTATGAATGTTGGCACCAGAGAACATCCAAGCATTAGTAGCTATAGACAAGAGAATTGTATCATTCACATTGTTTAGAAGCTAAATTGTGATTTTAGCCAAATTTAGCATCAAAGATGACTAAGTTGAAGGCATTGTTAGTTCTTGTTTGTTTGCTTATTTCAGCTCTCGCTATGGTGGCTGAAAGCCGAGTAGCGAGAAAGGACTTGGGTTTGGACTTGGGGTTACCCATAGGGGTAGGGATTGGAGCCGGAGTAGGGATTGGTTTAGGAGGTGGGAGTGGCTCAGGAGCTGGAGCTGGCGCAGGTTCTGGCTCAGGATCTAGTTCTAGTTCGAGTTCAAGTTCAAGTTCAAGCTCGAGTTCATCAGGTTCCGGTGGTGCAGGCTCAGAAGCTGGCTCGTCAGCAGGATCATATGCTGGATCAAGAGCTGGTTCGAGGTCAGGCTCTGGTGGTGGAGGCTCAGAAGCAGGCTCATCGGCAGGATCATCAGCCGGATCAAGAGCTGCTTCAGGATCAGGAGGCAGTCGAGGAGGAGGATCTGGCCGAGGGTCTGGTTCAGGCCATGGTGAAGGTTATGGCGAGGGTTCAGGAAACGGAGGTGGCCATGGTGAAGGAGGTGGATCTGGATCAGGTTATGGTGAAGGAAATGGAAAATGAATACATGTCAAATGCATATATGTTAAAGAAGGAAATAAAGTGGTAGTCATGCAGTACTTGGACTCGTGCATTTTGTTTTAGACCTTGTGTAACTAAGAATGATCATTGCCTGCACTTTAAGTAAATTGAAGAAAGTTGAATGGTGTCGTATGTTTTCTTCCGTTTGTAGTAAAATCTATGAAATCCCTAGCTACAAGGGTAACAGCAATAAAATTATTGTCATTTTGTCACTGTATCAGTCAATTTCAGTTAAACTCCCATGCATGTCAATTGCAATAAACTCGTTGAAGAGGGAAAAAATCGTTTTCCTTGTTACTGTTTAAGACAAAATACCGAGCATGGTCATAAATCTTTGTTTCTTGATGCCCTACCAAAATATATGCTTACTTACTAAACATCTCTTTTATTCTCTGATGGTTTTCTTCATTCAGGTCCGTCACCTTCTTCTGTTTCTATCGTTTCCTCACTCTTACACAAGAAATTACTAAAGTTTTTCTGAACTTTTAGTTTCATCAACATGCATATTCTTAGATATCAAACTAAGTTTTATCAAGTTTCTGTTTAGCAAGCCATTAGGAGATTTTAATTAATTAGGAGGATTTCACCCCTCTTGTGAAGGATGCTGTGAGTCTGAAAGAGTTTGAAAATGAAATTTAAACAAAATTCGAAAGTTCATTGAAACTCTTTGAGTGTCGAAATATGACTTTCTTTTGTATTAAGGAACGGTTAAATTATGAAAATAGTATGTGAACATTTTACTACGA